CTGGTAGCATTCGGCCCACGTGCAAATCATGGAACGTCTTTCTTTTTCACAAAGATTATTGTGCCATAATTTGTTTGGCACACGGTCTGACGTCAGACGTGTTTGAAATAAATAAAAAAGTTATTGGCTCAGTGTTTAGCAGCTGCCACACGTCTAACCTACAATCCTCTTTTTTCTCAGGAATAGTATAGCTGTGGGACACTGTACCACGTTCCGTCTGTCCCAGAGATTCTAATATCCTTACCCTTAAGCAGAATGGGAAATTGGGCTTTGGCTAGAATATTTTCGTTACGGTCTAATGCAGAGTACACCCTTGGATTATGGGGTTTCTTCCTTTTACTATGTTCACTTAAGCGTAATGGTGAGAACAAGCATCTATGTACAAATTACAATAAACCTCTTGTAGTGACAATTTTAGTTATTTTTTATGACACACTTGTGTGATGAACAACAGGCGGGCTGTAAGCCATAACCAAGCAGAATTGCTGTTGAATGATGTGAACCGGTAATCTAAGCCCCGGGGATTGGTGGTGGCGAACCACATAAGGCCCGCTAGGTTGGGCGTGATACTGAACCGGACGACAGCCATGCTGGCTTCCATCAAAGTTGGGTGGCGGTGGAGGGGCACGAACCTCAGACCATAGGGTCCAAAGAACACCATGACAGCGACAAAAAAATTTACTAGCAAGTGGTTGTAATAAAGCAGTCATTCCTGGTAGCGAATTTAACACAACACAATAATATATGATATAATCATATAGTGGGCAGGTGAGTATGAAAGGCATGAGAGAATGAGTTTGTTCAAGCGAGTAAGGAAGTAAACACAACTGATCGATTAGATATGACCAAGGTTCCATTAGAGGTTGAACCAGGTCACACGCCCTCGATAAACCACAGTTCCTCTGAAAATGAGTGAGGCTTCATTTTTGCTCACAGAAATGCTTTTATGGGAATGTTTCTATGTAGCCACTCGCTAATATTTTTTCGACTAGGGTGTTTCTACCCTAATTAGAGAGCGGAAACCAATAACCGTGGTTATAATCGGGTTGAGGAGCCACAGGCCAGTAGTTCACCCAGAGTAGGCAAAACCTGTTGATTCCAAACTTTCAAGAAGAGGTATAAATAGGTATCCTATGGCATCGTGTTAGCCAAAGTGATCAGTTCAATGGAGTCTATTAGGCACCTCAAACAACCAACAATTACCAGTTTTTTCCTAACAAACCACTCAGTTGACCTGCGAGTCAGGCTTTGGCTAGTCAAAAACCCAGATCCTGAAGCAACCCGACAGTATCGTGCCTAAGAATAAATCATGGGTTTTTAAGCAAATGTCTGCGGCGTAAGCAGTTCAGCGGACAACCGTGAACCAAATTAGCCTTAAATGTAAATAAAGAAATCATCATAAGACATTTTGTACACAAAATTTGCCCTGAGTTGCATTCACGTGATTTTGGTTACTGTTAATATGGCTTAAACGAACAGCACATCGCGTGATACAGAAGTTGGAAGGATTGAATTTAAGGCCGGCTGTAAGAACGTTTACAAAGAATGGAGCGTTTAATCCAACGAACGATTGCGGACTATTGTTTATAAATAACAAATCGTAAGCCATACACACATACTGTGAGGTTTATCATCATCCAAACGAAGAATGTGATTAGTATGAATATAGGTTGTTTAAAATAATCAATGACTAGTGCTATGCCGCAGTTAATCTTTCATGACCTGAAAATTGTATAACGACCTTTGGTGAAAAAATGAACCTCAGCGATGAACCCATCCTCAGTATTAAACTATTTCGACAACTAGCAAATGTGCAACGGATTTAGATCTTGAACACTACCACTGAGAACAAAAGGAACTTTTTCATTAGCGAGGCACACGAAAAACCTGAGGCTTGATACAACGATAGCAGTACGGCTGGTGGAACTGTACTGAATCACCGTCCGAGACTGAGGTTCAAAAATTATGCTTTAAAGTCAGTTTGACCGACTTCTTCTCATCGTCAACTTTACAGTGCGTATTGTTGAACTTACTAGCGAACACGACGAATGATGAGGATTAGGTGCACACCAAAAATTGAAAATTGCATTATTCAGAGAATCTAAATGACAATGAGTTCTGACCTCGTGTGTTACATGGAATTCGATGAAAAGCATATTGTTGATACTATATTTAAACTACCAGCATGCACCTCAGAGATTGCTTTGATTTTACTCTGTAAGTTCAAATTGTTGGTGTTTTTCAAGAAATATAGTTACATTGACCAACCTAAATTGAGCAAAGCAAACACAAAAATGTCACCAGCCGTATATAATTGACCCAGTGTGCTGAAAAAGTTCTCAAAAATGCTGTCGACAATCACACAGCAAACAATTTCCGCACCTTTTGACTGTTTTGTCACCTTCCAACGATCCTGGTACTTCCATCCCCTACTTCTTGACATCCTATCTAACCTGCTGTTGTTGTTGTGGTGTTGGTGGTGGTGCTACCTTACTAGAATCATTCCAGACCCCAAATTGTACTAGTCTCATAATCCATCGGAAAAGTCAGTGTGTATATGCCCGGAAACTGACAATTAGTCTCATTGATGGAACAATTGAATAGTTGAAATAAAATGGGATGAATGGATAGACAGGCAGGTTCGGTAAACAAACATGACCGGCATTTGCCTCGCATTCATTTAGAAGAACAGATAGGCGACAACTCTGCTTGCAATACAGGCGATTACGGAAAATCAGTGCTCAAGTTTCAGATTTTAATCAGGATATGACGGATATGATAGATATGACGGCCATAAACTTATAGTCAGGAAAGCACCAACTTGACTTTTTCATGACTTCGCGTTTGGATAAAATAGCAGAAGGAAAATTGGAATGTTCAAATCAGTGTCAGAGTGCAAAGAGGGAAATCATGATGTTGTAAACATAATGAGTAAATGCACCAGCGCCACTGTTTATTACATTCAACCATATCACTCGGTGTCTCTAACCCTTGATTATGCTGATTCTGATGTCCGCATTCAGGAAGCCGAACGCGGTCTATGTGAACAAATCTGGTCAGGGTTTTTAGACCCTTATACCAAGCCTTAGTTTGACCACCCGTCTACCTCGAAAAACAGTCCGCCTGTGTCAATCTATTTGGTAACATGTGTAAGATATGTCCCAACTAACACAGTGTGTGGAGGTCGAATACTTGCTCAATTAAGCCACCGCAGTTGCTCAGGCAACCATCCTCCAGTAAGAGGTGTGAATCTGGTGGGTATCCTCACAGCAGGGTATGCGCTCGCAACCGAGAAGAAACGAAGTGTAAAGTAACACAATCGGGCAAAAACGAATTCACTAAAATAAATATACATATAGAAGAATGCATACTCTAAGGGCTGCAGAATGATTGGAATTAGCCTAATTCCCAATTACGCTGAGAGAAAAAAATTCCACATGAGTGACAAGGAAGGAAGATGGAAACCACTTGATAGTGCTACTAGAGCGATGCTAATCAAGTGGTAAAAGTCACAGTCACCTTGGTGCGGAGATCATGAGTTCTGATCCCGCGATCGCTAACTAAATTTCCCTCTCTTATGCGTCCGCATGCATCATCTCCCCGTTCTGTTCCCGAATAAAGATTATACCATTTGGTTCGAGAAACACAAATACATAGGACAGGTATTCAAACGTACTGGAAAGATGATATAAGATGCGTTCATTCATGCGGAGAATGATAATCAAGGGAGATGGAATCATACTTTTAGCTGGTCTTTTGAGCATTTCAACAACACCCCAATAAGAAATAATTCAGAGACAAAGCTGTATAAAAAGCCGGTTGTAAGTGAGAGGGATGGATACCTAATGTATTTGCTGCATGTATTTGGAAAATAATCTTCATTTCAATTAAAGCATCCTGGGAATATGAGTATTTTCCCGCTCACACATTCCTCGGTCCATACAGTTAATAATACAAGCGGAAGGGGTTACACTGGAGTTTCTTCTTCCTTAACAGTACTACTACATATCACCGGTTAATAAGCAATTTGGAATCAGGATCTATCACATCGGGTATACGCTAAACTCTTGCAAGTTACTTGAGGTTTTAGTTATCGCAAACGGTAAATGATCATTAGGGCGGTGGTGGCCCGGTAGCAACGTAACCAAATTATCACCCCGGGGATGTGTTCGAAACCAACCAACATCGCCTGACTTCCCTCATTTTTGTATTGAATGGCAGCCCTTTGATTNCCCCCCCCCCCCCCCCACTTCCTGAAAATCGTATCTTCGTATGTTCAATACAAGAAAGAAAAATGAAAAAGAAGAAAAAGAAAAGTTACAATTCAACTTAAAACGAACCCGGTCCGGTAGCCGCTCGGGCCATTCCCCCGTTGGAAAGCAAAGCACATCGTTGGGCAGGTAAACAACTTAATGAGGAACACCGCATGGCTGCTGGCGGGTTTACCCCAATGGATCCATCATGACCTCCACGTTCCGAATTGCGTATGGTTCTGTCGCACATGTGTCCGGGACCCACTGCTAACCGAGAGCCGTATCCTGGTGTGCCCGGAAGTGAACCGGGCCCAGAGCTACGAACCAGCTCCACCGAACCAGTACGTGGGACAGGACGAGTTCGATCAAAGACCAAAGCAGCAGCATCTACACTTCGATTGGAAGAGACGACACCGCCCACTTCTTCCAATGAGTCTTGGGTAGAATGTCGTTCCCGCAACTGATTTTGTGTAGTAGTTCCCGAAGGACCTTAAAATGAACGAGGGGTGATTACTACATTGCTGTTTTGTAAGAGGTGAAAATACTGGGAAATGCTGAGAAGACGAAAGTTGTTAGGAAGATGTGGTTTTGATTCAGTAGCAACAATGGCCCGGGGAAAAACAGGCTCAAATAAATTACCCTTGGGGAAACGAAAGTCACCAGTTACCTGCACTTCAATCAGATACAAACACAAGATGCGTGTATTCAACATAATATAGAATAAAATAAATAGCACTTTTACCACGGTACCAAAAATGCAATCGGTTAGTATTACTGAAGATAAAATTGTTTGGGATAGTGTTGTTTATTTATCCTATTGTACTAGGAGGTGTGCAGCACGAAGGCGGCCAATAACAGTGAATAAATTACCAACAGCTTCTCAATTCCAATGGAAAAGTTATTACCGCCAAAAAGGTACACGGGATTTTAGTGGACAGTTAACCTCTTTTAGTTACATACCTTGCAAGGTTTCCACACCCCTAGAACCAATCCGTGCATCTGACAAAACGGACTGAGAAAATCGTGTGCGTTTTCCCACGCCGTCCGAATTGCTGTGGTGACTGCACTGGTTCGGTCCGGTTCGGTGAGCAGGAGAATCAGAGGTTTGAACAATAACCACCGGATCACCAGAATCGCCCGAACCACGACTCTGACCAATCAACGCTCGCAGACCGGACACTGTTCGGACACGCATTGCATGCGCACTGCTCGCCAAACTGGTGAATCCGCTGCGTTCGGACGCATCGGACGATGGGTCATTAAGTGATCGGTCCTCCGTCATCAGATCCTCAGCACTACCATCCAGTGCAATGCCACGCTCGTCCTCCGCATTAGCCGAACCTCGACAGCGTGATCGGGAACAACGCATGGAGCTGGAGAGTAGCAATGTGACAGGTAAGGGAATTGCAAACAAGTGCAAACGACAGAAAATGTGGTTATATACTTTAAAAATGTCTGATCTACATTTACGGCTAATTCTAGTTACTGTTCATTATTCCTTCTATAAAACCTGTTCCGCTACACACACCTCACATTCAAAACATTTAGAGAAACTATTCCGATTTTCGAACAAAAAATCGGCACATATGGATGAACTTATCATATATTGGTATCGAAACAAAGGTAAACTAAATGAGAATGAGAGTGAAGAAGTTCGCAGTGAGTCAGTGCATGAACGAAACGCATCAGCAAATTGGTTGCAGTGTATACCTGCTTGGACTCTGACCACGCACTGGTTTGTGCCAAGTTGTCTATGCTATTTGGCGGCCGCAAAAAAAATGCGATGCAAACAGCTCGACGTCGTCAAGCTCTCTGACCCGGTCGTACTAGCCGATTATCAAAACGAGTTGGCCTCAAGGCTAACTACTACCCCACCAAGTAGCGTAGATCAACACTGGACAACCATTCGAAACGCAATGCACTCAGCCGGTTTACACAGTTGTGGCCTAACTCGCCGAGTTGTAAACCACCGGGTTTCCTCCAACTCAGATTCCTCGACGCGCGTCAGGTAATCCCGACCGACCGCGAGTACAACGAACAGCGCCTCTCCCTGAAGCGTGAACTCACAAAGAGTTTGAGAGACGACAGAGAGACCTGGTGGACGCTACGTGCAAAGGAGATGGAATCAGCGGCTAAGTGTGGAAACACCCGGTGACTATTCCAGCTCATCCGTGCCACAGGCCCCAAAAGACAGTGCGTCAGTGACACAATCTGCGAAGTAGACGGCACGTTAATAAACAGC